TTTTACATTGCAAAAGAAAAACAAAATGTTATGAACATTTTTAATTTTATATTATAGATACAAATTCTCAGATTAATTTACGTTTGCTTTAGCATTAAGAAACATTCAGGTATACCGGATAGCATTGTGTAGCATCCTGTAGGGTAGAGTTTTTGTCACGCAGTATACGCAACATTCTTACCTTTTTAAGGCAAACCATAAACCCAACTCACAATAAACCGATGTACAATACAGTAGGCATATATATCTTTGAAGTTAAAAAGTTATTGTTAAAAAAAAGTATGAGAGAGAAAAACTTATATATGTATAAATATTTTTAAATATAAATATACAAATAGACAAAATAAAAAATTATGTATGCATAGATCAAGTAAATTTGATAGTGTCAAATATTAATATGAAAAAGATATGTGTATATTAAATATTGCTACTTTTTCGATACTAAAAAATAATTATAAGTTGTCTTTATCATTTGTAATATAATTTATACATGTGTTTTTTTTCATTTAAAATTATATAAAAACAGAATACTTTTTTATTTAAATACAAGAAAGAAAATAGAGTGTTATTAGAGCTTGTTTGAATAATTAAGAAAATCTGCTGTTCTATATACTGTGTATGTAGAGAATGCAAATTAATATTTTTCGAAATATCGGAGTAAATAAATAAATATACGGAGTAAGAAAAGAAATCTGAAAATCTGCACGGCAGCGTTACAACGTCGTGTCCAGTTTATTTCGTCTGATACACGACAGAGAAGAGTGGTGGGGTGGTAACTGTCACCGAAGATAATTTATGTTAATGACTGTTCGTAAGCGAGGAGCGCCGAGGTCGCTCGACTGAACAGTCTGCAGGTCGCCGTAGCAGCGGTCGGACACGAGGCTCCTTGCTCGACTTTCGAATCCTCCCCTCCAGTCCAACCCTGAATTCACCACCTTATCGTCGCCCTATTCCATCCCTACGATGGCGACGCCCAGCGTCGATTCGGTGCGCACAATTTCATCCCCAACTCGGAGATTTGTTCTCCTAGGGACGCTTGCACGCTCGCGTCGAAAAATAGTTGATAGTCGTGTGATCAAACCAGTGTACGTAGAAAATTAGTGATGTGTTGAAGATACATTCTCGCATGATTGGTGGTGAGTTTGCGTTCTATTATTCTTCTTTTTTCATTGATATTAATTCATTGTTATTTGCGAACAAATGGCAATGTTTCAGTGACGCGTCAAACTAAAGAGAGTTGCTAATAGCTTAGTCTAAACTCCATAGAGATAAGATAAAATATATACATGTTTGCTTCTCTAATAAATGTATAATTGTTAGTTTAATTGGTGTTAAATAAGATAGAAAATATTTTAATATACGTGAATCATATCGGTATTCTACATGTCCTTGACACTGTCTATTTTTATCGAATGAGAACTGAAAATGGCTACAAAGAAACGGAAAAATGATCTGCCACAATTCCATGATACAATAACGAACAATATTATATTTGTCTAACACAATTTTTCAAAAACGTGGAAAGGAAAATCATTTCTGTTTTAAAAGAATATATTGTTAATTGATATAAAAATATTGCGATGTTTTCAAAAATGCAGAATCAAACAAATTTATTTATTCCTCAAACAAATGTTTGTTTCAAATAAAAAAATAAATCGCAACAGTTTAGCAATTTATAGCAACTAATTTACATTGAAAATTCAATACTTTCTATGAAGATGATAAATATAATTCTCTTATTAGAATTAAATGTGTTTTGATTGCTTCACAAATTCAAAATGCATGATACCGCGTTAATTGCATATGTATTATTATCTTTCTCTTATATTAAATAACACAATATTGTCTCCAAAAATTTCCATTTGAATGAACAATCAAAATGGAGCAGGAGAGGATGTAAAATTCCTTCATTTTCCTAATTTCTAGAAATATGCATCCAAAACAGCCAAAAATACATTGATTGCGCCTTCTCGGAGTTTAATATCGACCGTATGAAACCGCAGAACGATTTTTCGACATCCGATGCCTTTCTCATTTTACATAACGTGTCCAGACCGACTACTGTATTGACGTATTCAGACGAGGAAAATAGATATTAACGTGATGTCGATAGCCGACGAGGAACACTCTGGCTAGGCACCGCCGCGGTGGCGCCGACGGTGGCGGATTTCGCGTATTCCCTCTCGTATAGCCTCTCGCAATCTGGCGGGATGCCGATCGATTTGCGACTGTGTTCCTCACCCGTACAACACACGATTCCATTTCAGTTCATTTCGCTCGACTCGCGAAGCAGTGCGCATTTACAATCGCAAAATTGGAAATCTTTCTCGCGGCGTTTGCGCGAAATTCCTCGACGGATCCGTAAGAGAAATCTCTATTCTCGCGAATGAAAAGAACTTTCGACCATATATATAGTTCATGAATTCGATAAAATCAATGTAATCTTTGGAAGAAAGAGAAATGCTATTTCCTGTAAGTTATATTATATTTATCCAGAGTCTGTGCACGGTGTTTCCTCTTGAAAGAAACGTTGAGTAGCGACAAATTATTATTTCAATTGTGATTTTGATATTCTGCATTCTTTCCAGTATAATTTATAAATTTTATATTATTTTAACAAACACAATTCAGTATTATTTTAATTGATTTTAAAATATTTATATTTTTTTCGGAATATTAGACAGAAACATGATTCATAGCTAAAAATATGTAACAAAAAATATATAAATCAAGTTTCTTCTGCGTATATATTTCTAGCAAAATTAATGCATTGTATATTGTGCATCTTTTCGTGAAGCATCTGGTAAACGCATTCACTTAATGAACCGTCTTCCCCACAGTTCTCCACAAAAGCTATAAAATTTGAAGTGAGCATGTGTATACGAGAACAAACCGGCTATGAATCCAATCAAGACTTATACGGCGTCCACATTCCACATCTAACCTTCCAATCTCTAAACTTGTTGAGTACCAAAAAGATTGAACTGCATTATATCGAATTTTTTAACTATTTGGGTTGTTTATTTATTTTTTTTAATTATTTTCAAATTTAATTAAAATAAGAAATGACATAATATTATTGGAGAACAATTAAAATCTTTTAATTAATTGATAATTTTCTCAGAAATTTGTCATTTATAAATTTTTTATTCTGTATTTCTAATGAAATTCGCAAAAAATTTGTTTCTAGGAAGTAAAGAATTTTTTTACATATAAACTTAATATGAATATTAAATGCAACCGTGAAATGGCACGTGAATGAAAACAATAGGTAGCGTGACACGACACAAAGTGTTAAGTGATCGATCTTGTGTCTGTCTTGTAAAAAGTACGATCACCGTGATTGCTATATATTTAATAGGGATGTTACCAAACAGAGCACGTGGTAAACACGTGTACACTGGTCTCTCTTTTTTCTGTTATCTGTTTGTTATCCTTTTTCTCGTTATCTACATTATTTTAAAATATAATATTTTATTAAATTTATATATACATTAGAATAAGAGATAATTAAATTTATACAATTTAAAATGTAATTAAAGAAACACTCTACACGCTTGAGATGTTTCATAAGATCTTTGAAGATTATATTTTACAAGGCTTATTATTAATTTAATGAGATTATTTTATTATAATTTATTCATTTCTTAATTCGTGTCTTGCGGTTTTAGATGGCAATTTAATAAAATTATTATATTGATATTTTAATAAAACAAAATTATGCTTGATACATTATATGTAAAAAATTTTACTTGATAAATTTCTACTATAAGCCTATTAATGTGCCGTCCAATTTAGTCGTTCTTACTGCGGTTGAATTAAAGTACCGGTATCATAAATTAACACATTTCCGCAAGATATGACGTCATGCTGTGTCATTTGTACATGGGAGAAGGTCTTGTTAATCAGGTCTTTTACAGGCAACTATGCAGCCAATTCCAGATTATTAAATCAATATTACATATATCTATATCTATATAATTCTACAAAAGAATTATTTATATATATATATATTAAGTGATCTGTTACTTGTATCAAATATTTAAAAGTTGAGGCACATAATATATTCCAATTAATTGTTATTAAATATTGAACAATTTATTGCAAAATAAATATATAGCTTTACGAAAATTTTATATTTCTTTTGGTTCCGTTCGGTTGCCAGAAAAATTATTTGAAATTTCTCCATACAAAGTAGCAACGTCTACGCTTAACGTTTTTTCTTCTCTGTATTGGAGCAGGTATCAGGGTCCGGTGTAGGTAATAGGCGTTGGATAATGGCAACCCCTATTTGACCTTCGGTTTCTTAGCCGACCCGCTGCGTATTCTTAACTTCTTCGGAGTTTTTGTCTTCAAGATTCTAAAAGACTGCATGTTATATACGTCCTTTGTATATTGCTGTTTCTTTCGACTTTATTTTCACTTGGAATATTTCTTCGTATAATTCCATTCTACATTTCATAATTATATATTAAACTTGTATATTTTTTTTTAATTAATATGCAGCATAAAAACTTTTACTAAGCACGATAAACGAATATAATTCTGCTTTCTCTTTAATATATTTTTTTAATTAATACATAACATGAAAACTTTTACTAAGCACGGTAAATGAATATAATTCTGCTTCCTCTTTTTAATTTCCTTTTTTCTAAATAAATTACAATATATAGTTTTAGAAAAAATGTATCGAAAGTATCTTTTAAACATATAAATATGTTAGACAGCAACATGAGATACACTGCGCACAAATGTTTCTGCATTAATTCTAAACTTATGAGAATGATAATATTTAATGAGAAGAATAGTATTTATTGCCTAAATTTTTCTCTGGCTCGATTGTATCTTCGTAGCTCCGATGAAGACTCGCCGTTGTAGGTGGATTCGCTTATTATCGCGGCACAAAAGCCGTGCGAGTTCCACACGGATGCTGTGAGCCCTCACGTGGATTTCATTTCAGGATCGCATAAAATGGTGCTGAAGGGGGAGAAAGAGGGGGAGGTGGAGAGAAGGGGAAGAAACACGAGGGGAGAAGAATGAAGCCGAGGGACGATCAGGGGGAAACGAGGGGGAAGGAAAAGATGCCGGCTGGCAAGCAGATGGTTGCCCCGTTTATTGGTTTATTCGTTGCTTCAGCCATGACGTTCCTCGTCCGGCCATGAAACAAGCCGGAGATTCTCTCCTTGTGTTGGAGAGTATCATGCAACGAGGCTACGAATGCTCTTCATCTCTCCTATTAAAACGCATCCGCGAGCTAGATTCACATTGCAGGTATCTACTTCTTTAGCGTAAATTATATCACTGAAATTGCCGATTTTCTTTAAATTTTACTAATTTGTATTATTTATTTATTATTTTTTTTATAGCAATTATGATGTCCGGCAACGCAGTTACTCTGCATTTATGAATTTCTACTCCGTACACATTTGCTTATTTTGCATCTGACGTTTTACATACGAGCGTAAACTATATCACTTAAAATTGGCGATTTTAAGTGATATAGTTTACGCTCGTATGTAAAACGTCAGATGCACAATAAGCAAATGTTTACGGAATAGAAATAGATATATATATTAGAAATAGATATATATTAAGTGATATAGTTTACACTTCTTTAACGTAAACTATATCACTTAAAATTGCCGATTTTTTAAAATTTCACTAATTTATATTATTTATTTTTTTACAGCAACTATGATGTCCGGCAACGCAGTTACTTCACATTTATGAATTTCTACTCCGTAAACATTTGCTTATTTTGCATCTGACGTTTTACATACGAGGTAAAGCTTTCGATTCTATAAGCAATGATGGAATATTTAAAATTAATGTCTAATTACAGAAGAATACATTATTCTCCTTTGTTATTACAGCTCAATATATTACGCTAATGAAAAGTATTATGTCAAGAGACGTGTTTGCTACAAAATTACAGGTAATCTTATATGTGAAACAACTTTGCGTTTATATATTTCACAAGGAAAAATAATCCGCTAATTGCGCTTAGTTGTAAATTTTTAATGAAGTGAAGTATAGAGTTATTGAAGAATTAATTTTCTTATTTTTTAATTTTTGCAATCCGCTTGACGTTATATAAATTTTTTTATATAATTATATTTCAACATATGTCGTATAATAATATTATATATATATTGTAAATCTTTTGAAATATCTAATTGATAATAACTCATTTAATTTAGTCAGATAAAAACTAATGAAATTGGCATCGAAACTATCACAAATTATGCACAGTAGAAAAAGTATAAGAGAATAGCTTTTTTTTGCGGCTTGCAGACATAAGCGAATATTATAAATGATATTCACTAATGGCGTCTTGGGAACGAATGCTTGGATCAATAAGAGGACGACTTGTTTACGAAATTCATATAATCTTTCGTCTTGCAAATGATCATCCCCATCTACAATGACCTTTTCTACGGCTGTCTCCAGGGACAAAGATCAACACCTCAACCCTAAATACATATATGTATAATCGATTATACTCCAAAAGGTAAATATAAACAGTTTTAATATGTTTATTCGATAAACAAACAGGTTCTTAAGGAATACACGTTAAAATTATATAATTTTTAAAAAATCAATAAAATATAATAAAATTGCAGCTTTCATCTAGGGACTTTTAGTATCTTCGTATTACAACATGTCGGTAAAGTCAGTTGCGAGATGAAGATACAAAGTCAAGGACATCATTATTAAAGCAACGTCTATTTATAAAGTGAAATAATTAAATTAATTCTTTATGAAAAAATTTTTAAATATTACTCATTGTCAATAATTGTCCATTTTATAAAATTTTATATATTTTTATTCAATATATTTAATTTTAAACTATACTGTGTAACTTAGTATAATTACAATGTCGATAAGATCAAATAACACAGTGTAAATTGTATAGTATAAATTTAATTTCAAAGAATTTGTTTTAACATTTATTTTACTAGTTTTATACTATATATAATTTTTAGAATATAATAGTGTCATTTCTTTTTATTCATTAAATTAAGCATCTTCTATTTTTGTTAGAATTTTAATATTTAAGAGAAGACTTATATATCACATATAGTAATAATTAGATTCTCAAAAACACACAATTTTCTATGTCAGTAACTGACAAGCTGAAGAATGCGAAATATTTTGAATAAATCAGGTTTTTCAGATCCGGATTAAGAAGACATTCGGAAGCCATAGTCAAAAAATGAAAGGATTAACATCATCACTTTAAAAAGGGATTTCTATGATTCCTACTAATCTTCAAATCCCCTAGTTTTCCTCAACAAAAGAAAATTAATTTGTATTGTGATATATTTTCTCTGAGGTGGTCGCATTCGGAAGCCATAGGCAAAAAATAAAAGGATTAACGTCACCATTTTAAGAAGGGACTTCTAATATCCTTTCAAATAATATTTTCAAATCCCTCACTTTCTCTTAACAAAACAAAACTTAATTCTATTGTAATACATTTTCTCTAAGGTGGTCGTCGCATTTTTTTCTACTTCTTTTTACTAAACAATATAACCATGTGCATTAAATCCTTGCGACATACATATTTCTGTTTATCTACGATATACGATATATGTATATAGCCAAACATATTGTCTTGTAAAAATATGTTTCACACTTTTGTTGTAAAATCAATATTATTGTGACAAAAATATTGATATATCTTTTTCACACATTATTTACATGTAGACGATCTGCGCGACATGACCAAGTAACCTGGAAATGAAAGGTACATCGACACGTACAGGAATAAAAGGAGCTGTACCGCTAAGAAGACGAAGAAGAAGAAGGAGAAGAAGAAGAAACCAAGGAGAATGCGACCTTGCTACATTCAGCTGTGTCATCCTTGAGCCGTTAACGCTCAGGTGGTTTCGATCCCAGGAACGAGCATCAATCATCATCGGTAGTGCAGGTGTAATGTGATCATTGTCACCGAGATAACCCAGTACGATATTCACTTACGATGCGTGTCAAGTGACATAACAGAGTTTATCTATAACAGCGTATCTAAATACTGAAAGAAACTGCTCCAATGTTTGTGCCTAGCACATTATTTGTTAAGGCAGGTCTTTGAGAAGGCATTACGAAACAATCATCCATATACGGGTTGCAGATATTATACGCAAAGCTAAGATTGCATACACCTCTGTGTGTGTACACATTATTATATGATTTACATAACTTATATATGAATATATAATTTTTTTGCAAGATTTTCTTTAACAAAGGAACAAATTAAAATTATAATATTAAATAATAGAGAGAGAAAGATTGCTATTATATACAGGGTGTCCGGTAACTAACGGACCAATGATTAAGGGCGGATTCTCTGGCCAATTTGGAGACGATTTTTCCTTAGCAAAAATGTTGAGAAGTCAATAATTTTCGAGTTATAAGCGATTGAAAAAAATGAGTTTTTTGAAAACTAAACGTTTTGGAGTTAAAAGTCTAACATAATTACATTCTTCAGTTAATTTCAGGTAGAGTTTATTATAATAAAATTTTAATTTGAGGCTTAGTTATAATGATACATAATGACAAATATTAGAAAGTTGTAAAAAATGATGACCTTTTTCGACATTTTCGCTGAGGAAAAATCGTTCCCAAATTGACCAAAGAATCCATTTGTAATCGTTGGTCCGTTAGTTACCGGACATCCTGTATAATATATATTATTTGTACAATCTCTAGTATATTTGAATAACAAAACATAATGCATATTCTTGTGTTGCAAAAATTATGTGAGAAATGACAGCAGTCTTTAAAAGAAGTAAGAATGACAAGAAAAAAGCAACGCGTTTTTAATCGATTCAAGAAACTAAATCGCACGAAAGTCAAACATATATAATTGAGAAGAAATTTCCTTTCACTGATAATTATAGATTCGTATTAATTTGCTCTAATATTTTTCTATCTACATTTTTAAATAATTTAAAAAATTTAATTTTATCGAAAAATTATTGCATGTAAAATATTAATTGCTAACGTAAGATACTAGTTTTTCTTGTTGATTTGATATTTCTATCGACGATATATAAAAGTTTACGTAGAGTTTGATAAAAATGGATTTTGCCTTACTTTCTTTAGGAGTGACCTAAGCTATTTTCGTATGACTAAGCACTTTGTAAGCTTACGAACACGTTACAATCTTAGATTATCTTTAGATAATCTACAATTTCAACAATAGTCTGATTTCTTGTGAATATATACCGTGCTCTAATACACAACATAAAGTGTTAAAAATATAAAAGCATGTTTATATAAAGAATTGCGACACTTCGATGGAATACGCAATATATTTCTAACGAGACGGAAACATTTATATAGTAATATTTGCATTAGCGCGTATGAAAAGTTGACTATAATAGAAACGAATAAAAAATTATGCTTATGAATGTATTTACAGTCAAAATTACAGAAACTGATATTAATAGGGAAATATTTTCAGGTTCCTAAATGGTACCTGAACAAGAGGTCTCTACTGAAGATCACATACTGGGCGGACAAAGAAGTTAAGACCGGCACGTATGTTAAGCAGTATCTTAAAAGATTAAAGAAAGCAAACGAATAAATAACCAATAGATGTGCCGTGTACAAGAGAAAGCCCAGTTAATGCTCTACATCTACCCTGTAGATCCGAATTTGTTTGATAAGAGGCGACAAATTCGGTTCTAGAGAGGTTTGTGTGGTGCATACAAAGCAACGGTGATCTTTAAGCGATTATGTTAATCGAATTATAGATGTAAATCAACATATAACATAAATTGTACTATTAATTCGAATATTTAAATACCGGTCTTATAATCTCCGATGTTTTGTAATAAACATATTAATGTTATCAGTATTTTTATATTTCGCAAGTTTTGTTTTACATGTAGTGATTTAAAGCGAGCGATAACTGACGACTTATATTATAACGGAATTTATAATATCGTATAAATCAAATGAGAATTATAAAAAAATTTATATGGATATAATATTGCGCGGAGATTGGCCTACATGACTGTATAATTAGATGCGAATATAATTAGACCGCTAGGGATATCTAGCTTTGAATTCACTCGTGCATATTATGGACGAGTATATTAATAGTGACAGAAAAATAACAAATGTGAAAAAGAATTAATGAACGTCATTACGCCCATGGACTTGGTTGCATATATGTACGTGTTGGTATACTGTCGATGATGAACTGCTACGTCTAGCGTGACCTGTTGCATATAAGTTCACCAACACATCGCGTTAAGTTGCACATTCTCCTCGTACTTTGTACAGGTAAATTCAAATTCTATTTACGTTATTTATTAATATTAGAATGAAACAGAATATTCTTGCGAAAAATGTAAAGTTAATTATCAGCACTATTCAATTAATAGATAATTTGTTTTTCACAGCGTGCGAGTGCATTAAAAACATTATTTAGCAAAATTTGATTAATAATATTTTGCAAGAAAGAGATTCTTTAAACAAATATTTTAAACATCTTTTTCTAGGTATTATATACACATTTTTCTGTGATTAATTATTGTTTTTTTTTTTATAAAATCTAAATATTGTCTCTATATGCACTTTATGCTTTTTTTGCATTCGATGATGCAATTATTAACTTCGAATTTTATTTACATGCAAAAATGTGTATATAAATTTTAATATATTTTTTATATTAAAAAGATTAAAATGCAATTAATAATGTGCAATTTATTTAGAACTATATTAAAATACTGTGTTTCATTTTTCTTTATAACGAATATCAGTTGCATCGTATTTTTAATTGAGCGATTCTTTCTGACAAATACGCTATATATATGTATGAATATCGTGTTTAATATTCCAATCTAAAGAGAACGGCATGTATTTTTTTTTCTATGTCGTTTACGCATATACATGCATCGTATACTTTTTATGTCTTATTTCTTTACAATGTAGCCGTTCATTGAATGGACATCTATCAGATGCGGATGCACAATTTCTTGAATCTTTCTGTAAAGGCTGTGGCAAATCCATTAATCTCTGATCGTGTTCATATTAAAATGACATGCCAGTCGTCGTTACGCAACTACTCATAAGTGCTAATGAAGTGCATACACAGGTGTAATTACTAATCGAGTGGACTGCCCACTTTTCATTCGTAGCATAATCTAGTGGATAAAAAAAATGAGTGGTTTCATAATGACACGACGGGGAAAAACGCTGCCGCCTCGCATAAATCAGCGATTCCTAACTGGTGCTTCGTTAGAGAAGTTTCCATTAAAAATTTCCTATGCATCGTAGCCTATACTGTTGAATAGGTATTAATTTTTATACAACGCAGTAAATTACATATATACTTTTTTCTTTAAAAAAGACAAGTTTTTCAATCTCAATAATTTGCAATAAAAATAAAAGAATTGAAAACTATTTATATATAGAGATATTAATCAATTAAATCGAAATTTTACAAACATATGCATAAAGATATATAAATAATATTATACGAAAACGTGATCAAATATGTGATCATATTACAGAGATATATGACTTATGTATATATTCTTGTTTGAAAATACGTTTGATCATATTACAGAGATATATGACTTATGTATATATTCTTGTTTGAAAATACGTTTGTTGTTCTCTCTTGTTAATTTTTCTCTCTCGTCTTATTCATTTCTATTTTAGATAAATCATACACACAAGACCATATGCAAATATATAAAACATGTAGAAAAGGTGTCATAAGGAATCTGTTGATATTAACTGTGGAATTATATTTAGCTTTTCCCGCAAAACTTAAACTTAAAACACATTGAATGTTAAATTAATATACGGAAAACTTATAATGAGTTTAATCCGAATGTATCTTAATTTTTACTTTAAATCTTTATGATAAAGCAACTTCAATTATTCTAATAACATACCATGATTGATTTAATTCCATGTTTTCGCAGCTTATATCAATCAATCATTTTATTAATGGCTTAATCACAAATAAATATCGAAGCAGGTGGCAGGCTCCATCTGAAAAGGCATAAAAGCAAGAAACTTGTAATATTTTTATAAATATAATGATTTAGAATTATTTTAAAAGGACGATTTGTGAAAGAACAAGAAATGTAAGCGAAACTCGTTTCATTATTCATTTATGTATATAAATAAAATATTAACATCTTCCTACAGTGCAGACACTGATCTCTGTAGAAAGTACATAAGTTTGCGAACAAGGAATGATAATTTTCTTACAATAACCGAATGAAAATTATTCTTGTATACAATGTCAATTCAATTGTACCTACACCAGCAAATGATTTCTTTAATTGACGTCTATTATTCGAATAACTTCTAATAATGTGACGTACATGGAAGCGATGTGCAAGATCCGATCACGCCTTACAAGCATGCACCGCAGGAAGCATCATCGTCTCGTCGACAAGGTATCGAGGGATACATACATATATACCCAACATGAACGCAAGATATACTCGATATATCCCGCAACGCAGGGAATTATCGTTCCGATCGCGAATGTGCTCGCTGCCGGACGTTCACGTCGCCTCGTCTTCCACGGTCTCTCTCTCTTTCTCTCTACGGAACCATATTCCGATTCGAAACCCGGGCGACGGTTTCGACGGAGACAAACGGCCGCCGTAGATACGGTTGGACGCGCGTTCACGTACGTTTGCAGAGATCCTCGCGTGCGAAGAGCCTTGTCTCTCTTTCTCTCTCTCTCTCTCTCTCTCTCTCTCTCTCTCTCTCGGAGAGTCTAAATCCACATTCGAATGTGCGAGAAAACATAGCAAGATTAATGATTTGTGTGACACACGTAGGGAGAGGGTGCGCGCAGACCGTCAGCCAGCCAGTCAAGCCAGCCAGCCAGTCAGCCTGCGCTTGCTTGCCTCCGCCTGGCTCTGGCTGCCAACTCGCCGACGGCGAGGAGTGCCATGCCGCGAGAAAACCGCGGCGGCGATATAGCTCTCTTGCCTTGCGCTGCCACTTTCATCTCTCTCTCCTTCGCAGCGCGTTTATTGTCCGTATTTCTTCGTCACACGCAGCCGTCTTACGAAACTATTGACCCGATTCCGCGGATTCCGCACCACTTTAAGCGTCCCCCCGATCGGGAAAGTATGTAGGTACATGTCAGCGCGACTGTCTGTAAGGTTTTTCCTTTTTGTACTCGGTATGGGTTTCGCGAGCTACACGCGTAATATTCAATTTACGAGACGAGATAATCGCT